AGCATGCCTGGCCATTGGTCTGAGCTCAAGGGCTGTGGGTCATCCCAGTCCCCCACCTCGGAAACAAACCTTTGTGGGCTAAGAAGTGGGGCATGAGCTCAAACAGGAAAGGGCCACGTGTACTGGAGGCAGGGGAGCTGTGGGGAGCTGGTGGGCTCCAGGAGAGGGGCAGAGAGAGCATCCTGAGGACATGCCACTTGGGTACTCATTCAACAAATATTCAGTGAGCACCTGTGATGTGACAAACACTGTACTGGTTATGCGGGAGACTAAAGGGAAGGAGCCGGTGAAGGCACTGCCTTCAGGTTGATCAGTCTGTGCGGGAGGTCCGCTCACCATCAACAGGCAGCCACATTATAGCAGGATTGGTGCAGTTTCTGCGGAAGCCGGGGAGGGGGCATAGGGAGGGCTGGCGGGTAGGGAGTGGGAGTGAGTAGCAGCAGGCTAAGATCTAGCTGAGGTCTGACACCACGGCTAACATCTAGCTAAGATCTGCAGGATGGGAGGTCAGCTGGGAGATGGGGTTGGAAAGTTCTAGGTGGGAGCAGCATGTGGAAACGCCCGAAAGCCCAAGTGAGTGTAGTGAATTCTGGGACTGCTTACAGGTCCCTGAAGCTGGGCTTTAGGGTAGGAGTCGTCAGGCTCCGGTGAGATAAAGCTGGAGCCAGGAGCAGAGGCTGGGTGCACAGCCTGGTGGGGGAGTTTGGAATTACTCCGAGTCCAGAGGAAGCTAGCGAGGAGTGTTGGAGATGAGATCTGTAGGTTAGAATATCAGGCTGCACTGGCAGTTGGAAGACAGTTTGGGAAGCTGCTGTGGTGTCCCGGAGGGAGGTGATAGGGAGTTGATCTGGGTGAGGGTGGTGGGAAGAAGGGAATTCCTGGGCTAATTGAGAGACAGAAATGACAGGACTTGGGGACTGGTGGGGGCTAAGTGAGGGGAGGAGGGCCAAGGGTGACTCCTAGGTTTCAGGCTTTTGCAGTTGGGTGGATGGTGTGTGTCATTTCTTGAACTGAGGGCCTAGACGGAGGAGCAGTTTTGGGAGGAAGATGATGGGTCTGGTTTGAATGTGTTGGCTTTTGGAACCTGGGGTTACCATGGCAACCAGGGCTAGCTGCTCAGGTGGGACACAGGAAAGAGAAGCAAGTAGCTTAGTTAGGTGTGAGACCAAGTATCAGCTGCTGAGAAATCCACCTGACATGAGTGCAGTCTCAAAAGAAAGGAAGGCAGTGGGTGGGGGGGCTGTACTGAGTCAGGATGGGGAAAGCCAGGATTTTTAAAGCCTTTCCCCAGCTGAGGCCTGGGACCAGAGAGGCCCCCTTAAGGGAGCTGGAGGAGAGACCTGAGGGCCCTACCTCAGGCAGGTGCCTGGAGCAGCCCCCAAGGACATCTGGCCAAGGCCAGTTGAGCCCCCTCCCCAAGGCTCATGGTCTGGATTGAGGACGGGGTGTGAGGTTGTGGCCCCAGGAAGGCCAAGCAGGCAGGATGAGGGCACAGATGTGGCAGCTTAGAGTGCTGGAGGGACAGGGTGAGCTGGGCTTGGTCACGCCCTCTGCTGGCCAGCCAGGACCAGGGCAAGACTGACACTGCCAGGGCTTTCCCCTGCCCCTCAGGCTTCCCCACGTGCTTGCGAACAGTGCCTGAGCTGATCCGATATGTCACCATTGTCATCTACACCTGCTCTGCCAAGCACGCAGCTGTCAACATGGGGCAGGTACCTGTGCTCACTAGCCCCCTCCCCAGCCCCAGACCTAACCTTAGTCCCAGCCCCAAACTCAAACCCAGCCTCAAACATAATCCCCAGGCCAGCCCCGATCTGTCTCAACAAGAGTCTCAGCTTCAGTCCCAATCTCAGTCGAAACCCAAGAGTCTTGGAGTGCTTTCTGACGGGGAACCCCTCCTCTCCCCCACCTCCAGTTGGAGTACACCTCCTGGATGCCCAACTTCCCATCATCCATGCGGAACCCACCAGTACAGGCTAAGGGGCTGACCACTCTGGAGACCTTCATGGACACGTTGCCGGATGTGAAGACCACATGCATCGTCCTATTGGTGCTTTGGACCCTCAGCCGGGAGCCGGATGAGAAGGTGCCATGGGGCCTCGGGGAGCAGGGGGAGTGGGGAACTCTGAGCAGAGACAGGAGGCTGGGAGCTGAGGGCTGACAGTGGGAGAGGAGGTGTCAAAGGCAGGAGGCAGGGAGAGAGAGGCTGCTGAAAGGGAAGGGCGGAGGGGCAGGGGCCCGCTCGGTCGCTACTTCCTGGTTCGGTGCCCACAGCGGCCCCTGGGCCACTTCCCCGACATCCACTTCGTGGAGGAGGTCCCGCGGAGGAGCATAGAGACCCTCCGCCAACGTCTGGCTCAGATCTCGCACGACATCCGCCAGCGCAACAAGTCCCTCCCCATCCCCTACTACTACCTGGACCCCGTGCTGATCGAGAACAGCATTTCTATCTAGTGCTGCCCTTCCCACCTCGTCCCTGCTGCGCCCGCCTGTTTTCCAATTAAATCACTTCAAACACAAGCCCTGGCTTTGTCAGTGCACGTGGACGTTTAGTCGGGGCACAGGCGGCAGGGCTGGCGCCGCGGGCTGCGCGCTGGGGCTGGGGTGCGCCGTGCACTCATGTGGCGATGCTGTTCCCCACCGTGGGGTCCAGGACCACGCGTAGGGCAGCGCCAGGCCCCGGTTCCGCTCCCGGATGTCGCGTGAGATCTTGGCCAGGCGGCTCTAGAAGGAGGCGATGCTCCTGCGCCGGGCGTCCTCTGTAAAGTGCTCAGTAGGTGCCCAGGTGCCCTTGCGGATCGAAGGAGACAAGGCTGGGACCCCCGCCCCGCGATGTCCCGGTTCTGATCCATTTTAAGTCCTCCTACCTAGGGATCCAGACCACTGAGGACCTCCGACCACCAGAAAATTCACCAGAGAACATAGACCACCACCCAAGCCCCGCCCACCTAGGAACTCAGACCATCCAAGAGTCATCCAACTTGAGACATAAACCACCCATCCACTTAGCCAAAAGACCACCCTAAACCTAGACCACCCAAGTCATGATCCCTTTGAAACCTGAACCACTCTAAGCTCCACCTACTAGGAACCCATGCTATCCTAAACCACACCCCCAGCAACATGTCACTCCAGGCCCTGCCAACGGAGGAGCCCAACCTGCTAAGTGCACCTTCCAAGTGATCCACTTCATCACCCCACCCACTCTCCTGGAATCTGAGAAGCCCACTCCCATCCCCAACCTAGGCCTTGTTTACAGTGTCCTTGGTGTTGTCGCTGATACCCCAGAGGTGCACAAGGGTGTGGCACGTGGCATCCACCTCAGGAAGTGAGGCCACCAGGTTTGTCTGGCCTTTGGCGGTAGGCAGGTGGAGCTGCATGGTGGTGGGGAATATTGGGCATCCAGGCACTGAAATCAAACTGAACCCCCAAACTCAGTAAGCACAGGGATGCCAGTATTCCTGCTATGTCCACTTATCCCCACTGAGTCTGGCACACCCTCATCTGGCCACTGTTGGTGGTAGCATGTTGGGCTGAGCAGTTGAAGATGATCATAGTGAGATACTCAATGAGGCCAGTGCAGCTGTCCAGGGCGGAAGGGACCTCTGGATGGAGGCAGATGGAGGGAACAGTGCTGAAACCCAAGACCTGCTGCCCCAGAGAAGTGGGGTCTCGAGGGCGGCAGACAGGGATGCTCATCTGAGCTCACATGGCTTAGCAATCCCTCCTGGAAGATCTCCCCGACTGAGGCCTGCAGCTCAAGTCCTTGCTCACTGCACTGTCGTCCGGGTAGTAGATGTCAACAATGTTGGACACCAAGCTGGGGATCCATCAGGAGTACATGGTGACTAACAGTTGGGAGCCTGTGCTGCCCAGGGATGTGGGTTGGAAGAGACCACTGAGACCAGCTGCCCCAAAAGGAGGAAACGGAGGCCAGAGAAAGAAAATGGCCAAATACACATCATATGAACCACCCAGCTGAGCTTCAAACCTAGAGGCCTCAGTCTCCACCAGGGGGTGCAAACCAGGGGCCTGAGAGCCATTAGTTGGTTTGTAGGTATGTTTTGATTGGCTGCCGAGGTTTTCTGTTTGTTTCTTTTTCAAGTTGAATCAATAGCCAATATTTAAATATTAGAAAATGTCCAGTCTCTCTAGAAAAATCTAAAGCTCTGGCTATTGTCATAGCTGGGTCGCCATTCTCCCTATCAGACAAACATAAGTTCTCCACTGGCCACAGTCTCTGCCCACCCTCCTTCCTGCTTGCTGGCCCTGCATGCAGGCATTTGCAACCCAGTTTTCTGAGCCTCATCAAGCCACAGAGAAGGATCAGACGCCAGGCTTCTCTGTGTTGGGACTGGGCTAGTTGGGTCCTTTCCCCCCACTGGTTCCCAAAGGGCAGATTGGGGTTTGCCTAGCTCTCCATGGAGTCCACCCCCAGCCACAGCAGGGCTCATAATCCATGGCTAAGAAGGGTTTTGACACAGGCAGCTCCAGCTAGGGATGTTCACTGGGGGGGAGTCCCAGAGAACTTCAAAGGGAGGTGGGCATGAGCTGGGTTTGAAGAAAGGGCAGTGTTTGGATAGAGAGAGAAAGAGAATCGGGGTGCCTGGCCTCCTTAGGCTCCATGTGTGCTGAGGAGGAAGAGTGAAAAGGGAAGGCAGATTCCAGAGTGGATGAGATGCCACCTGAATGCTGCGTTCCTCGTGGCCAAACACAGAGCCCCGTGAGGCGCATGAGCAGAACTCTCACAGACTCCAGTACCTGGGGAGGGTCGTTATGCTGGGTAATGGCAGGAATGGGGACCCACCAGGAGGCCAGATATCAAGAACGTTTTGCCATGGGGGTGGAGGCCAGAGGTACATTCCAAGGAGGTCTCCAGTGAGGGAGATTTAGAAGGAAAGTCTAGAGATGTGGAGACTGTCTTTGGGGTTAATAATAATAATAGCTAATGCTCAAAGAGCCTGTCCTATTCACCTGAGATTTGTGCTTAGGTCTTAACATTTAATCCTAATATTAACCTTCGAGGTAGGTCTCTTATTAGCCCCAGTTTCAGATGAAGAAACAGACACAGAGTGATTAAGTGACTTGCCCAAGGTCACACAGTTGGGAAAGAAGAGGAGGCAGGAAAGTGCTGTGAGACAGCAGTGTGTTTGGGCAGAAGGTAGGGGGAAGTTGAAGAACAAATTGATAGAGAAGTAGCTGAGGGCGAGGCTCAGAGCCAGGCCTCCCTGGCTCAGACCGCAGGGAGATTCACCTCTCTATGGCCGCCCAGATCCAGAGTGCATCATCACGGTTGTAGTAGTGGACAAGGTCCTGAACCTCTCAATCAGCCAGGTGGTGGGGCAGGCAGAGGGAGCGGTAGGTGACAGCCTTCAGCCCTTTGGCCAGCAGCTCCACGCAGCCCACCTGTCCCAGTGATGTTGCCTGTAATGAGCAGAGAGCCAACTGTGCCAGGAGCAGGGGGCTCAGGACCAAACCTCAGCCCCTTCCTGGCCCCCTTTGCCGACCACCAGGATCCCAGGCCTCCCAGGGCCCTGACCTGGTGGACGAGCTTTCCTGGTGCAAAGAGCCCAGTGCGGGCTTGGATGTTGATGTGGAAGGTGTAGCAGAAATGAGGAATGAGCAGCTGGGGAGAACCAGAGTCTCAGGTTAGATGAGGCAGCTCCAGGTCCCCCATGGCTCCTGGCACTGAGAGGACGGGTCCTCCCTAGCTTGAAGATGGGGTGGCACATGGGCAGCTGCCGCAGCATGGACAGAGAAAAGGCTTCCATCACAAAGTCGGCTCGGAACAGATACATGACAATCTCGTGCACCAGGAACCCTGAATATTGCACCAAGGTCTTGGCCAGGAGCTAGTCCTCAGCTGCATCACAGGGCAGCAAGATGGGGCTGCCAGGGCCAGGGGTCTGAGTGAGCTGGAGTTGGGGGCACAGGGGAGGGGGTGTCAGGCAGAAACTGGCTGCAGAAAGTGTGGCCCATCACTATGTCCATGGGGCTGATCACATGGTCAATTCCCATACTAGCTGTGTGGCCTCGGGAAAGTTAATTAACCTCTCTGTGACTCAGGTTTCTTATCTCTAAAATAAGGTTGGTGATCATAATCCTCTTCTCTTTGGGTTGCTGAGGATTTAATGAATTAATGCCAGTCAAGTACTTAGAACAGTGCTGGGTACACACTCAGCACCATATGAGAGTTTCTTGTGATCACTTCTAGTACAGCAAAGAGGAAGTGGAGTCGCTGAGAGGCGAAGCGATCCAAGGCCACCTTGTTGGCACTTGTGCAGAGCCCAGCTGAGGGCTCCTTGTACCAGCACAAAGTAAGGCAGAGCCCCAGTTGTGTGGGGCAGAGGCTGGGAGGGGCTGGGTAGGATAGGATGGTATGTGATGTTTAGCACTTGAAACATTTGCATCGGGAGGGGAAACCTTTCAGTCATCCTCAGCATATGATATGCTCCCCACATATCCCCGCACCTCCCCAGGGCTCTGCCTTGCTGGCCTGGATGGCGAGGGGCAGCAAGGGTCCACTGGGGCGCTGGTGCAGCAGGGTCAGGGGGCACTCATGAACTGGGGTCGCCCGTTAATGACATTGAGGGGGAGGTCTGAGAGGATGGCATGGTTTACCAGGTACAGAGAGCCCTTTTGGGGAGGAGAGGATGGAGAGGAGGGCTAGAGAGGGGGCAGCTCTGTGCAGTCCTGGGAAGCTGAGGGAGGGAGGGGGAGTTACTCTGCACCCACAGAGATTTCACTTAAATGAAGCTCATCCCTGGAGCCAGTGGGGCATCCCAGCCCAGAGCCACCTTCTGGTTCCAAAGAAAGAGACTGTTGCCCGAATATTGGAGGTGCTTTTGCTGTAGCCAGGCCCAAGCTTCAAGGACAGACAGTAAGAAGAGAGAGCCTTCCTGGAGGACAGCACCTTTGGATGCAGAAGGCACTCTCTTGGGGTTGGGGCACGTCTCATCCCAGTAGTCCAGGGATGGGGGGTGGGGCGGATGGCAGCTCTGGGAAGCACTTAGTTGACCAGCTCAACGGTCTCCTCAGTAACCATGACAGTCGCATTTCTGAGCTGTGGGGTCCTGCCAAATGCCCGGAGCCTGGCAAAGCACCAGGAGAGAGCATTCCCCACTCAGCCCTGCCCCCTCAGTCTCTGCTCTCGAAGAACAACCCCCTCCCTGCAGTGAGGAGCACTCAGAGGAGTGGCTGAGCTAGTGGGAAAGGGGTAGGAGAGGATGACGGCTGGGTGGAAGAGAAGGGATCTGGGGGACTGGGAACCAGGGCATCTGGGCTCCTGAAGGCACTGGGAGGTGGGGGAAGGTTGGCTGGACCCCTGCACCCCTCACCTCCAGCTCAGCCTGCAGACTGGTCCAGGGGCCCAGCACAGGTGCCACCATGGCATCAGTGACAGGGAAGTTCTTTGGGAGGCAGTGACAGCATTGGATCAGAACTGGGTTGAGGCCGTTCAGAAACTGGTAAGCAAAGAAGGTATCCTCTTGCCAAAGTTCAAACACGTACTCTGCAGGGGGTGGGTGTGGAGAGGGTCACCCTGGTGCCCAAGGACACAAGTCCCCAGCCTCCAGCACTGCCACCGCACAGTCACTCTCGGATGCTCCCCTTTTCCTACCCCAACTGGGTGGATGACTTAAATAGTGAGTGGTTTCTCAGAAAACAAGGGATCAGAATCTGGGTTCTTCCTGAGGAGTCACTAATTCCCTTAGCCACACCCACTTTGAGGGAAGCCTCAGGTGCTCTGTGATGTGCACTGACTGTATTTGGGATTCGGGCAGAATCTGAGAGAATCAGAAGACTGAGGAATGCCAGATACTAGCAGAGCCCATCCTTCTTGGCCTCTTGGGGTCCTTCTAATTCTCTGTTAAAATTAAAACTCACCAGGCCCATGTCCTGTTCTCCTGCATTTTAGCCACAGGACACTCTGGATACTTAGTTAAACCAGAACAATCACTCAGAAAGAGAGTTTTCATCACCTCGGGGTGTGGCTAGTGTTTTTGGAACCGAGGTACAACATGAATGGTTTGGACCCACAGTGCAGCCCTGGGGGACAAGGATATTGGAGAGTGGAAATGCCTGAATCCTTCAACTTAGTTTGATTTTCAAGCCTGCATGCAAGACACAAGGCCCCAGCCAAGTAGGCAGCACTTCTGGGAGGAAAAAATCTATCTGATTTCTGAGGATATACATAGGACAGGTGTTTCCAGTTGTCAGAACAACTCAGTGTTGGGAACAGTTTGAAGATGTAGTTATGAAGTCAGGGGAGGAGGATGACCAGCAAACAGACCGCAATTCAGCCACAGGAGAGAGGCTGTAGACTTTCGGAGACGGCAAAGATAGAGCGCTTTGCTGGGAGGTGTTTGAACTTGCCTTGACAAAGAAGCAGAGTTCCTAGAACTTACTTCCCGGCCATTCTTGCTGAAGCCCTGATGGGTGAGGATGACTCCTCGAAGAGTAGGCCTTAGTCTATCCTGAGAGGGGACATTTGGGACGAGCATCCTCTCTGGGTCCCTCAGCCCCTACCACCTGTTCCTCCTACACAAAGACCAACATCCCCCCAGGTAACAAAAAGCATGCCTTCTCAGGGCACAAATGAGGCTCCGTGAAGGACAGGGGAGGGAATGGGCAGCAGTGCAGGATGAGCTCTGTGATTTCCAGAATGTTCTCAGTCTAGCTCTCGGGTTCTCAGTCCTCTAAGGAGACCCCTGAAGACCCTCTGGCCCTGCCACAGCCACCTGGTCTCCCTCATACCCAGACCTGACACGGGTGATTTGAAGAAGATGAAGGTGCGGTGGATCTCATCCAGGCTCCTCCAGGGCTGCTGGCTGTCCAGCAGTCCCTTCAGCTTCAAGGCGATGTTCCTATGATGAGTGGGAGAGCCTGGGAGGGAAACAGGGGTGCAGCAAGGGAGGTGTCGGGCGGGGCAGGTGGGCTCACGCGGAGATGAGGCGGACGTTCTGGTTGATTTCTTTGGTGACTGAGTAACGCAGGTTGGGATCAAGCTCCTTGAGGTTTTCAGCATCCAGGCAGTGGGGTATCCCCAGAAGAAACTCACTCCACCTGTAAAGGGCAGAGATGGAGATGGGAGTGGGGTGACTGGACCACACCCTTCAGGACGGGAGAGGGTAACAGGGGCTGGGCCCCCGGGCCTGGTTGTGCAGGGAGGGCTTTAGGACTAGAGGCTCTGGAAGAGGATTATCCCAGGACAGGGGCTCCTCATAGGTGTGTTGTTCTTAGTCAGATCTGAGGCTCAGCTGACCTCAGCAAGCAGGAGCAAGCAAGCCTCTTTGTTGCCAGAAAGCTAGGAAGTGGGGGTTCTAGGGACTGCCAGCCCCAAGTCCTCCTGAACTGCTCACCGGTATTTCTGCTGCCTCTCCTTAACCTCTGCCTGGTGCTGGGCATAGAGCAGACAGTGGCTGTCTTGCCAGACAACTTTGGCTGGGGGAGGGAAGGAGTGAGGGGGACCTGGACCAACCCTCAGCACCCCAGCCTCTCTCCCTCCTCTTCTCTAGGGTAGGACATCTGGACTGGAATGTTGATCAGCCATTGGCCTCTTGCTCTTCCCAGAGGGATGGAGAAACCCCTTCCCACTCCTGCTCCCATCCCAGGCAGACTCTGCCTCAGCAAGCGGCAGTCTGCCCCCTGCCCCTCCCACTCAATGACCCAGCTCCACAGCTGAGGCCAACAGGGGGCCAAAGAGCAGAGCTGGAGGGAAGAGAAGGGAGGGTGCTAGTCATTATCAACCTGTGCGGGGGGGTGGAGGGGGAGTTGCCTGCCTCCCCTACTCTGTCTTCACAGTTCTGTTCCTTTCCCATTAGCCCCTCCCTCCTCCACTCATTACCCGCCTCCCCCGACCGCGTCCCTCCCTGATCCTCTGGTCCAAACCACTCCCTCCTCCCCACCATTGGTCCCTCTACCAAGTCCCCTTCTCCCACCAATAAGTGTAATTTCTCCCAGCTGCTCCTCCCCCTCCTGCACCTCCTATCACCACCAGGTGGTCTCCCCTCCTCCGCCTTCCCCTCCTCCCGCTCTGTGGCCACATCAGCGTACCGGTGCCCTCCCCTGGCCCACGACCACACTAGCCTCCCTGGGCCCCAGCACGTGGTTACCCCTCACATGTCCCCTCCCGCAGCACCAGGCTCCCCTCGCCCTCAAGCCACTGGTAGCAGGGGAAGCAGAGCGGGGAGCCCCGGGGCAGCATGAGCTGTAACCAGTGACAGAACCAGGCGTCCGGGGCCAAGGATCCCAGCGGGCTGGGCAAAGCCAGGGACGTCTTGTGCACGCGGAGCAGCAGCAGCACCGGGCCCACGTCCTGGGTAGGGGAGGGGGCATCATCTCGAAGTCCTCCTCCTCGGGGGTAGGGGAGAGGGAGGAGGGTCGTGGCGAGGTGGGGGTTGGGGGATGGAGTGTCCCGGGGACCAGGCCGGCGGGCACCGCACACAACGACCCACAGTTGAAGTCTTTCCCGAAGTTGTCCAGCCGCAGGGCAGGGCTCTCGCCTTTGGGTCCCACCAGGCTCACCTACACGTTGTCCCAGGTCCCCGAGCCCAGGAAGGAGCCGGTGGCCACACGCACCCAGTACTCGCCCATGGCCTGCCGTCGAGGGGTCTGGGGTGCTGCAGGAGACGAGGCGGGTGCAGGCTGGCTGCGCGACTGAGAGCCGTCGGGGTGGCGGGGATGCGTATGCACCAGGCTGGGGCCCAGGTGGC